TTATTTTTCAATTACGGCGAGATTGTGATCTGTCCTTTTGTTGCAACCTAGACATGCAGATTTTTTTTGCAAAGTGAATCATTGTTTACACATAATTTGATATATTTCAATTTGATCAAATACTTGTTCACAATTTTTTATTTAAAATACATTTACTAACATTATTTATACATAGTTGAGAAGTACTGCGTCAAAGTGATGAAATATAGATAATGGATTACCTCCATAACTTTGAAGTAAATATTAAATACGATTTGCTTTGATTGATATTAATTTTAAATGCATATTACTTATTATTTAAAGTATTTTGGAAGTTTGTAGGATTTGTTTTTAAAATAATATTAGACCTCTAACAAAAACTAGGAATTACTTTTAAATATTATCCTTCCAATATTATTTCACACTGCAACTAAAACTGGGTATGTTTATTTATATTATATTTATATTGACATTTTTCGCCTTAAATCAGTTGTTTTATTTTTAATGAGCTCATTTATAAGAAAACTCTTTATATATTATATATAATCATATTACATTTATATTTTATTATTTTTAAATTATATAATATTATATTTTGTATGGTTAATTATTTTCAAAAGCTGCCTTAAGAAAACATGATATAAGTTAACTGTATTCTCACTCAACGTTTTTAAAGCATTTGACCTGCTATTTTAAATATAATAGTTTTAAAATATAATTTTTAGTTTTCTCAATTATATTTCACTGGACCTTAAAACCCCTACCACGTACTGATAACTTATATCTTAATTAAAACCAATAGTTATATGGGTTTATAAGTTAGAAAAACAAAAAAAGTTTGGTAGAAGGTGCGATATGTGTGACAAAGCTTTTATTCCAGAGAATGAAGAGCATCAAAAACCATTTTTAACTTTTACGTACTAAAACCTCCTGTTGGGAATAAACAATAATGATTTCTTACTCCATAGGATTATGATTAGACAATATTATTTCATATCTTATCTTTAGCTCATAAAACTAAGATAATCGTATCCGAATAAGTTGAAATTAATAGTTAAATAAAAATGGATCTAAGAAAAACCATTGAACAAGCTCAGCAACAACAAAAAAAACAAAAAGGGAATGAGAAAAACCAATAGGGATTTGAACAGTGTTATAAGACAGTATTATTATGAGAACACTGGACCAGCAAAGACTTTCAACTAGATTCTCAATAATGTGTGACGATGTTTTATCTTTATTTAAGCGAAAAAATAGTGACTTTAAATATATTATATATAATATATGATATGTTGTATATTAAGTATACCCTGTATTATATACAGTAACATCACCAGTTGTGATATCAGATCAAAAGATACGTAAAGGATAGAGCCTTGAAACTATTTACGAAAACGGACAGGCTTACGAACATCGCGTTACCAAATCTTAAAATGGTTACAGGCTTCTCAGGGAGATATGTATGTAAATCTGAGATCAGTTATTGCTTAGTCAGATGAAATGATAAACAATATACAGTCACAATCGCAATTAGTAGAGAGTAAAAGAGCTCAAGTGTACTGACTCAACTGGCCTCAACATGCAATAGAGTTTTATAAATGCTTTATGATGATTAACATTTATAATAAAACATTTTTATAAATATTATTTTAAGCTTCTATAACTCTTTATGAATTAGACTGTTAAAATGTCTATTATATTATTATTATTATTATGACATGTTCCCAGTGTACATACAATTAGAAATTGAATGCATTTCTAAGAACTTAGTCGATAAACAAAAAATTTCCAGTTAACTCTATTCCGTGGAATGTACCTAAACTCTTTAAACGATTTGGATGTTGCGGTGAATACTGTTCCCCGATTGTACTGTTGTCTTTGGACATCCTCTTCTTTTTGAATGAAGAAATATATATTATTATATATTAAATTAAATAAAGATATCAGCATTTCTATAATTAATTTTTATAAAAAAATATTATTTTTCTAAGCTAATTTAACACTATTTTTTATGATCGTTGGATCGTTTAGTGTTTAAGAGTGAGCTTCTCTTTCTCACAGTTCTCATATCTTACGCTTATGTATTTATTTTCTGCAGTATAAATAAACACATTTCGGCAAAGTAAAGCTTATATACTTAAAATTACTGGAATATATTCTCTTAGTTAACTGTATATTTCCATCAAAGTTTAAAGAGAAAAGCGGAACTTTATGAAACTTGAACAAAGAGCAGTTATTCAATTTATATTAAAAACCGAAATCCCCATGCAAATTATACTTGGCGCATAATTGAGAAAGTCCCAATCGCGCACTTTGCCACTCTTAACTGCAGCGAAGAGAACGTCAGCTGTCGGAATTCACCAGTTCGCTCACCTGCTTACCCCACTAGTAAGAGCACGAGACAAATTTTATCGGTTCAGTCGCATATACAACAAAGAGCGACAACTCGCAGCTCCTCCCCAAAATAAACAAACAAAAAGAAATCAAATATAAACAAGATCTATTTTTATTACAAACACTACTTAATTGCTATAATGAATACTCGTATACCCTAAATGAACTTTATATATTAGCTACAGCTGCTCATTAGTTTTGACGGCTGAGGTGTACGACGTACAAGAAAAGAAATCTGTACCACAGCCGACACGAATGAAATGTACTGTAGTTCACTGTAGTCTGCTGTAGTAGTACACGAAGAAACAAGCAGTAAAACAACAATAACAAGTACAAGTTGAAATCACAGCAAATGAATAATAGAAAGGAGGCACAGAAAGAAACACCAACAAAGATGAACATAACGTAGCCGACTGACTGATCGACAATGCCATCGTTATTTTCGGAGTATTTCTATCGTATGAGTTTTGTTTGGTATGAGTTTTGTATGTATATGTGTAGCATGTGTGGAACTGTGGAACTGTTTGCTCAGCACACACCACACACCACCTTAGTAAAGTTGGACGATATGAGCATGTGTGTGCGATCAATCTGGCACGTGCTGCAAACGCACATCTGTTCCTTGACTGAGGATCACTGGTGGTGGTTTTGGTTGTTTTTTTCGCATGTAATTCTTTTTTTTGTTTTTTTTTCTTACTTTTCTTTTCTACTATTAAAGCACTGAATTGATTCTAACTGACGCTTAAGATCGGAAGTAAATGCGCGTGTACTTTGGGTCCAGAGGGGGTTGATCGGTATAATGCGTGTATAAAATTATTGTGATCGCTCTTAGTTGCATCATTTGTGTCCGGAACTGCAAACGAGAAACTACAAATTGCAAATGTGAAATAATTGAAGCGATTTTAATTTTAAAACTTAGTGATTTTTGTGATTTAATTGAATAAATAAGTTAATGCATCTGCCAGTGTGTGTGTGTACAGCAGATTTAGAATAAACGAGTGCTAAGAGAGTTCAATTAAGCTGAAATTAAGTGCTTATTGAGATCTAGTCAATGTGTGATAAACTCACTCAGTTGGATAATAGTGATTTTATGAAACAAACTCAAGATATAGCTAAGCTAATATGGATAAATCTAACTACAGTAAATGCCCGCTAAAAAAACGGCCCATCATGTTAGATGTTAAGAGAGAGGAAGTAGCATTTCAGATAGACCAAGGTAAGTGATTACTTAAAATTAAAACAAAAAAAAAAAATAGAATCAGATCGCGTAAATAATAAAATAAAAAATTTATATTTTTTATTTGTATCCCGAGGAAAAGATCAGAGTAGTCTAAAAAAATTATTAACTACAAAATCAGCTAGAATTGTTTTAACTGAATTCCAATGAAAAATGAAAGAATATAGAAAATTGATTAAATTTAGATTTTTTTGATTAATTATTCAGAAGAACTCAGTCACGTTCTTAGAAACCTATAATAACAAAGAATTATAAAATTAGGTGGTTATAATAGGTACCACACTTTAGGTGACAATACTCATATGGCAGATCATATATTTCATAAAAAATCATACATATGATTTTTTCTTATTTACTATTATACATACATACATATAATATAACATATTATAAATGTTATACGTTCATTCACATTTCATTATAAGAAATTTAGGAACTAGATATTGATTATAATTATATATATATATATATATATGTATATATATATATGTATATATATATATATGTATATATATGTAAATTATTAATATATATATCTATATATATAATATATATACTTTTGATAAAAATTTTCTGTTGCTCTAAAATAATTATGTACTTCTAAAAGCCCAAGTAAGTACTGATAAATGCCATCAAATATTTTGTGTGGATACATAAGACGTATTACATACACAAATCGGCTTATAAGCAAAATTTATTGGAAATATTTTATTATAGAAATATCATAAAAATTAATTTCAACCAAAAACCTATAAAAGAATAAACCATTAAATGCATAAGTAAATAGAAACTATACGTTTTAAAAATCTAATCCAATATAGAAAATTTTTTCATTAAGTGATTGGGACTTTTGTATTTTACATAATGCCAAAAATCGTTCACTTTAAAAACTAAATTTAACATCTTTTTGAATTCATTATCTAACATTCTCTTAAAAGTGAAAATTTCTTAACAAACATAATAATATGAGTTAGTTTAATAAGAGAAATATGATCGTCTAATCATCAAAATCATGTTTCGATGGTTAATCGACATTTTCTCTTCACAGCCGTCTTCCGTACGATGCTCCAGCATCGTTGTTCCATTGATCCATCATTGTCATCAAAATCGCTCCACTTTAGCTTTAGTCCACTGCTCGTCCGTTATGAACAATATATTTCTGATATATTGCTATTACTTGTTCTAATTATATGTCCAGGGAATCCTAGTTTTTCGATTTACTTTATAGTTATATCTTTTTTTTATTCAAGGTTTCAACTTTCAAATTTCAAATTTCGATTTTTTTAAGTATTTATAACAATTTAGAATTTATACATTATTTCGAACGTGAAAAGATTTAATAACTTCTTTCTTATATCATAGAACTAAAATTAGAAAATTTCGTTTTTACAAAAAATACAAATTTATATTCATTTATATCAATTGCAGATGAGGGTCCAGTAGATCTGAGTTTAGCTGCATCAGCAACTACAACTAGAGAAAATCCAATATCTGAAAATGGTTTCAGAACAATAGACGAATATCGTGATAATATCAGTTTTGCCGTAGCACATAAAGCCGATTTGGCGCGCCGCATTTGGGAAGAAACGCGTGAAATAGCACGCGCATTTCCAGACGTCTTTACCCGTGAAGAAATAGCTCGCAGTTTAGCTAGATTAGGTTATGGTGATTTCGAGCTACCAAACGAAGATGAAGTAATGGAGTGTAATGTAATAGCACCCGACACTTATCAAAATTCAATTGATCAACGTGTATACACAAATATAACACCCACACCAAGCCCTGCTACTACAGCATCTGCGGACAGTTTCTACGATACCGATAGATCTATAAAAGTTAAACCACAAAATTTTGCATATCGCAACTTCAATAATAATCTAATGAAGAGCATAGCTGATTTTGAGGATTGCCTTAAAACACCACAACAATTTGTCCAACAGCCGTCACCAATGCCAATAATTGAGAATGGGCCGACAAGTATGGATACTTTGTACCCAACCGAAATTGTAAGCGAACCCGAAGATCTGAGCATACGTGTCGACCCAAGTGGAGCAACGACAAGCAGTCGCCGCATCTTAGGTGAAAATATTAATTTGCATAATGTTGCACGCGCATTGCTGAGTATGCAGAGCATAAGCAACACAAACGTCGTCAACAGCAATGTCACCAACAATAGCAACAATGAAGAGAGCAGTTTTGGCGATAAGAGCAACATTAGTCTTAAACTGAAGACAAGTAGCGATTTGTACTATCAATGTCAACAATGCAATAAATGCTATTCAACCTATGCGGGTCTTGTGAAACATCAACAAACGCATGCTTTCGAGAGTACTGAGTATAAAATAATACGGAGCAATCCAAACGGTACGGGCAGCATTGTTGACTCTACAGAATTCTGCACCAATAAGGCAACTCAATTGATACAGGCTTCATCGGCAGCCTCCACGCAATCGATGCAAAAGCCAGTAGGAGTGCCGCGATATCATTGCAAGGATTGTGGAAAATCTTACTCTACTTATTCGGGACTAAACAAACATCAACAATTTCATTGTCCCGCCGCTGAAGGTAATCAAGTGAAGAAAGTCTTCAATTGCAAGAATTGCGATAAGACATACGTTTCGCTGGGTGCATTAAAGATGCATATACGCACGCATACTTTGCCTTGCAAGTGTCCCATCTGCAGTAAGGCATTCTCCCGACCCTGGTTGTTGCAAGGACATATACGTACACATACAGGCGAAAAGCCCTTCAGCTGTCAACATTGTAATCGCGCTTTTGCGGACCGTTCCAATCTGCGCGCACACATGCAAACGCACTCAGATGTGAAAAAATATTCCTGCCCCAGTTGTACAAAATCGTTTTCGCGTATGTCATTGTTAGGTAAACATTTACAAGGTGGCTGCCAACAATCACCAAACTCCTCCACATCATCCGTAGAAAACTTAAACGGTTTCAATCAACAACAACTGCAACAGCACATGCAAGGGTTGCAGACCAGTGCCTTCAATGGTTATGATGAAAATATGCCACTACATCCGGCCCAGCATTTGCAGCAACAACAGCAGCAACAACAGCAGCAGCAACAGACACAGCAACAACAACAGCAGCAGCAGCAGATGTATTATTCATGCAGTAGCATTGGCAGCAGCGGTCCTGAAGATGAAGACGAGTATGCGCAAGCACAACAGCCACATCCGCTGATAGCGCAAATGAGTGACTATTAATCGAAAGTTCAGTAATGTATCTGTAATGCAAATTCGAGGTAATTCTGACCGAAAATTAGGGACAATTAGGGATAATTAAAATAATAAAAGAATATCAAATGACATGCCAAATATACAATTTACTTTGCCAAGGAATCTCATAGGATAAGGGATGGGTTAGCCAAAACTTCTTAAATGACCAAAAAATTTTAAAAATATTTTAAATAAGAAAACTATAGAACGAATTAATATCTTATAATTTTACGTACAATATAAAAGTAATAAAATAATTTAATTAAAAATAATTAAAATAAAAAATAAAAATATAATTAATTATAAAAATTAATAAAATAATTAATAAAACAAAAAAATATAAAATAATTAAAATTAAAAAAAAAATCAAATTTAACTTACATAAAACCTATATATAAGTAAACAAAAACAAAATAAATCGAACATATATATAGCTAGACCCAAAGCCAGAAACTTACTTTAAGGGGAATTTTAGATAATTTTAGTGATTTGATTTTTATATTATAAATAATAAATATATATATTAATTCCTAGGAGGAGCATAGGGCCGCAAAAGATAATATAATATTGGTATAATATTGGCAGACTAGGCTTTTCAAGCTCTTCTCCTCTTGACTTCTAGCCTGTATATAATACAAACGTTTTAGATTTACATACATTTACTTAGATATAAATCAATTTTCTCTATGGAAAAATAAATTCCAATTAATGTGGACGGTTTCACATTCTTACCATATATCCTTAAAGCTACTCCTCAAGTACAAAAAAAGGATAATTACCAAATCTTCTTAAGTAAATTCCTTATATATATTTGAATCTCAGTCTCAAAAAAAAAATGTTTTTATTTTTATATATTTTTTATATATTTAATAAAAAACTGAAAAGAATTACTATTGATATTACACTTCTTACAAAATAGTTGAAATTAGTATAATTAATTTATTTTATATATTTATATAGAAACTCCCTACCAAATATTATTCTTATTAAGCTCATATTATATTTTAGATATATTATATATAATATATGTATAATATATTATACATATATTAATTAGATTATTGAATTTAAAATTTGTTGATGTCAATGTTAGAATATATAACATATAATATATAGCGGTAAATATTAAATTTAATTATAAAAAATTTATATATATTTATTTTAATTTAACATATTAAATTTAAGGCAACTAACGTAACTCGTATCGAATTGTCGGTTGTCTAGTCATTATAATTTTATATATAAGAATTTTTCGGACTGAATGTTATATCTATGTATATCCATATATATATATCCGAAATATATATATCATATTTGTTAAGATTTTGTTATTGAATATTTGTTGAGTTTTTATAATTTAATTGTTAGTTTTGTATATAAAATTATGTATTATAAATTACATGTAATTTATTTATAAGTTATTTAAAGTCGCTAAACCATTGAGCTGTATATTTATCTGCCTTAAATTAATTAAATGCAACTGATTGTAAAAAATATTTAAAAGAACTAATTTATACTGATTTAGAAACATTTTAAAAAATAATTTATTCAACAAAAATAAAAATATATGAAATAAAAATGAGAAGTTTTCTTTTTTTTAAATTTTTCATCGTTTACTGACAGCAAATTCTCGACATGTCGTTACTGGTAGGAATAGAAAAGCTACCCGGGTAAAAGTATTTTCAGTAATATATTAACGATAGCCACCTATGACAACGATAATGTTTTTTCTGCGAAAAAGATCAGTACTATTAAAAATTATATACGCCTCAGAAGCTTGAACACTTTATTAGTAAAGTGGTAGGGCGAGGTGCTTCGATTGTCACTTTTTCGAGAAATCGGCTGTTCCTGGTTCCTGTACAATAATAGTCAGCAATTTCACGATATCGTTGAAAGTCAATCACACATCATATATTTACTGCTTAAAATTTTCTCTCCATCTGAACACTGTCCAATATCATGTTTCCACTGCATCTTAACTATTTATGTTAACGATTTATGCATGCGAAATATCTTATTGTTTTACATTTTATATATAAAACATGTAATAAATATTTAAAATTTTCTCCTTCTGGGTAATTTCTCTTTGTGGGAAATTTATTTTTATGTGTTGCATTTGACATTTTTTTGCAATTTCCTTTGATCTAATATTATTAAGTTAAAAGGCACGAAAGCTTTTTGTATGGTTAATAAAATTCACATAGCATTCTAAAATAAGTTAACCCGTCTAACGAAGGCAATGGAAGCATACTATTAAATCAGTTTATTTATTTATAATGAGCTCATTTACACGAAAGCTCTTTGTATGGTAAATTATCCTCATTTACGGGGTTAAAGAGCAAAATTGCCTAATAGTACGTTCACGCTGCCTGGGAAATTTATTTTTAAGGGTTGATTTAAGCTGATTTATTGATAATGAGCTCATTTATATGGAAGATTTTTGTATGCTATGTCATCCTTATTAGTCGTTATAATGAATAAAATCGCCTAAATGAGACAGTGTGATTGTGTTATAAATGAGAATAGTAGAAACATGGTATAATCTACAATTCAGCCAAAAAACGTTTTTTTTTTTTTAGTTTATTTTTACAAACACTTGAAGTCGTTCAATGATATATGTTTTTAAAAATAATTTAACATTTTTAAACATTTTTAATAGATATGAAAAGTGTTTTCACTTGAGAGAAGCTCATATGGAGTGGCAATATTTTTCAAACACATTGGAAGTAACATACAAGTGATAACCAAGTAATATACCAAGTATATATATAATCGTATAGTTATTTAACAAACAATAATTGTTTAATATATAGTAAAGAGAAATCATATTAACTAGAAATTTATTAAGGACCACTGTTTAGTTTTAAAGAAGTAAAAGAGCAATTTATTGCACCTTTTCCGCATAGATCGGTATTCATTATGATTTCCTGCAATTTTGTTCCATTACCTTTTTAATTGCCCCGCTTTAGTCTGTAAGCTGCAACAAACGTTTCTGGTTAAAAACAATTGAATAATACTTTGAAGAAATACACAAAATTGAAAACAAAAGTCAGTTTAAATCAAAATTAATTGCCAGAATAATAATTGTTTAAATGGCTTAAAAATCAAGTTAACAAGCTTGGCTCTTAAAGAAAAGCCAATACTGCACACTGCAACAATAATTACAAGGCAAAAAATTCAAATGGAAATAAAAATACAAAACCCACTGCAAAGCCTTTGCGCAGCTGTTGAGCCAGCCAGACTCACTCGGTGTCTAGAGCATTTGTGGCATGTGGCAAGTTCCACTGATGAATCATCGGTGCAAAGACTTTACGACAAAAAAAAACAAATGTTAAATGTACAAAAAAAACGCAATAAAAATGAAAACAGCTTTACTACTTTGTAGTAAACTACTACGTTTACTACTATTAACAAAAATGAATGCATAAAGTGCACTGCTCTGCAACACTCAAAGAAAAATGTCAGAAATATGTGAAAATCAATGACTTCGTCTTTTCAATGCTGCTAAGAACATATCTACAAGGATAAGAATGACTACAAACAAGGATAATTGAAGAGTTAATATAGCATATATCTTATCTGGCAATGGATATATTCCGAAGTATCTATATAGGATGAAAAAACACAGCATTGGTGATCAGGAAGCTGAGCATATGTTTTTCAAGTGCAAAAGCTGGGAAGAAAACAAACTTTCATTAGGACATATTACTGTGTCCTAGAATTATTGCAAAGATGAAGGTATAAGCAAAAAACTGGAACTTATCCGCACAACTCGTCGAAAAGGTACTCCAGAAAAAAGCAGGGCCTAAACGTTATTTGAAATAAAGTGAAAATTCTAAAGATTTTATTTCAAATTAATGTTTCGGCACGGCTGTGGAGTAAATATTTTTCAGTTCTTGCAAATTGGAAATACCACTCCTGTGAAGTCAATGTTCCGAATCGTTAGGCATTTTTCAATCTTCCCCACAAAAAAATTTTTTTAGAACTAATAAAATAATTATAATTTGTGTTGTTACTTCTGTTATTTTTATTATTATTTTTGTATTACTATTATTTTTGTTGTCTTCTTATTACAATCTTTTATTATTGTTTCTATTATCATTTTTTTTATTATTACTATTATTTTTATTATTAATATTATTTTTAATGTTATTCTTATTATATATTTATTATTTGTAAATACTATTATTATTATCTTCTTATTTTTTTTACTTTTATTACATCTATTATTATCATTATTTTTTTTATTATTATTTTTATAATCATTATTATTTTTGTTATTTTTTTTTATTATTACAAATTTTTATTTTATTTTATTGAAATTTAACAATTAAAAATAAAAATATAATTAATTAATTAATTCAATTATTCTACAGCTGGTTTATGATTTCGTTCTAATATAAACACAGCCAGTAAAATAGTAAATAACAAACTTTCATAGTAAAAGTAACAAAACTCCAGAAAAATATGTGAACAAAAAAGTCAAGTCCGGCTTTGAATCAGTTGGTTAAGGTGCGTTGATTCTGAGCTTCACATTTGGCAGCACCCGAGTTCGATTCCTGGTACTTGAAGTTCCAAGACCACTGATGATGGGTATTTGGCAATACTTGAAACAGCTCTATGATCAACCAAACATGCAATTAATTAAAATAATATAAAAAATAAATTTTTGTTGTTGTAATTCACTACTTTTCTTCTTGTTACTTTTATTATTAATATTAAAATAATCATTTTAATTGCCTGTATTTTTGTTGTGAATTGTAATTTCTATAATTTTTTACACAAATTAATTATAATTTTCTATGACAATAATTTTTTTATGAATTTCTTTAATATATTCAAGTCATTCTTCAATTATTAGTTGAAAAATTAGCATATAACTTAAGTAATTCAAATGAACAATTTCCGAGATATAAAGAGGTGTTTGACTGTTTGCTTAATTCAGATGTTCAACTCCTTGAGAGTCTGTAGTTGATTAACATTGAAAATAAATTCACAATTTTTTCCTAAACCAAAAAATTCGTTTGTTAGAAAGTACCCTATATAGAGACTTTTATTAGAACAATGTCAACCTGGAGATTGTATGAAGAATCATCATTGCCAATAAGTACTGCTATGAGCACAGTAGGTAATTGGGATGTAAAGGACTCTTGAGAGACAAAAC